AAAAAATTGAATATCGTGCTATAATTAAATTCTTGCATTTGAAAGGCAATACGTCTACGCAAATTAAAGCCGAGTTGCACGCTATTTACGAAGACTCTGCCCCATCATTTGTCACCGTGAAAAGATGGGTAGCTGAATTTAAACGTGGTCGTACCAGCTTAGCTGATGATGAGCGTTCGGGACGGCCAACAATTGCGACCACCACCGATAACATCGAAGAAATTCATCAAATGATAATGGACAACCGTCGAATTAAGATTAGGGAGATAGCAGAAGCTTTTGACATATCAAAAGAACATGTTTGTCATATATTGACTGAAGAATTAGGCATGAGTAAGTTAACCGCGCGTTGGGTGCCGCGCTTGCTCACTCTGGATCAAAAACGCATTCGAATGAACATTTCTAAGGCCCTGTTGGAGCGGTTTAAGCGAAACGAGTCGGATTTTTTGCGTTGATTAATAACGGTTGATGAAACTTGGGTCCACCACTTCACTCCTGAAACGAAAGAACAATCAAAACAGTGGACTGCGAAGCAGTGTTGTTAGATGGGTGGCACCCAGTTGGACACGGCTCAATTGGACACGAGCCACTCACAGCGCTTGAGACTACAAAGCTCCTAAGCACCGGTCGCTGTGATTGGTGGTGTCCATGACCACAATCCGTGGTCAATCGGGATCACCCCTTGTTAGATGAGCCCCCTTTTGGCGCATGCGCACTGCAGCGCTGGAGAAATCCAAGAATGTATAAGGGTGCCGACACATGCGGCGTAACTTGCGTAAGCGTAACTTGCGCCGACCAATCATATCATTTCACTTGAACATCAGTTTCTGTCTAGTCACTTTATGCTTTTCACGCTATTTTGCTGTTACGCCGAAACATGATAGAACCACTATGCGTCGAATCTAATTTCTGGCTCATTTTAGCTTATTCTGTCTGAAAAAATGCATAAGGGTTTCGATTTTGCGACAGTACAATTATAAAAGTCGTGCGCCCCTTTGCATCGCGTGAAAGTCCCCTTTACCAAAAATCGAAACCCATGTGGAACAGTACAATTATAGATCTCATTTTGCCTCTGTGACAGATTTCCTAACCTCAATAGTCATCAACTTTAACGCTTAATATCTCAGATCACAAGGCAAAACGACGTTTTTTTTGCCAGATTCTTTTGTTTCATGCAAAAACGCGTCGAATAAGCCTAAGAGTGGTTTCACAAAATTTTCCGATTTTAATAATTTATTCGATCATCCGCTCATATAGGGGAAAGTGGGGGAACTGTGCGCAGCGGATAATTGTGCGCATCTTGGTTTGGTACTTTCCCAATAGATGAAGACATCACCGTGGTGAAATTTTCACGCAGGAAGTCGTCCTCTTAAGATATAATTACAAAAGATACGACGTAAATAC